GTCATAGTCACCATAAAACTTGTTTTAAACACGAAAATCATTGTTTATGTTGTATACGGAAGTTGGGGGTAGTATTGATCCGATTTTACCTACTTAATACATACTAATAAAATGCTTCCTGGGTTTCATTAAGGTGCCTCACATACCACAACCAATCTTATGATTTAAAATCAGCCGAATGTTCGAAAATCCTGATATTAGTTATAAAGGGGATATGTCAAGCTTTCACCCAATTTTATTTATTTTAGGTTATGAGTAATACATGTCTTCTCATGTTTATTGAAATAGCTCACACATTGGTGGATATATGCTGTATAAAGTCAGCCAGAAGTTCAAAAATCTTTATATCAAGAATATGGTAGCTAAGGGGAGTATTCCCCTATATGGGGAGTGGGCGGGGCTATCACCTGATTTCACTCTCTTAACACCGTCGATAGAAGTGCTAAAAATATATTTCTTGTGTGAATTCGGTGGTTAAAGCTTTATTGGTTAAAGAGATATGTATATTAAACATTATAGGGCGGAGATGTGCCCACTTTTGAAAGATTATTTAAACCGAAGATGCCGTCACTAATGGGATTCACTATACCAAACAAGAGTCTTGTATCTTATTTTGGAGCTTAGTTATGGCAAGTTATTGATTTTCGATTAATGGCGTTTTGTGAGCGTGGTAGTGGTCCGATTATGCCCATCTGCAATATTAACCGTACGGTACCAAGAAATATGTGTACCAAGTTTCATAAAGATATCTAAATGTTTACTTAAGCTACAACTTGCACAGACAGACAAACGGACGAACAGATAGACATCCGCATTTCAACTCGTCTCGTCATCCTGATCATTTATATTATACCGTTAGGTGAAAAAGCTATTATACTCGGTAGCAACATGTTGCAAGAGTATAAAACTACAACTTCGATAACTTTATTTCCGAGCTATCGAAAAAAGAAAACAAGAAACAAATAACTACGATTGCACCGAAGCTACACTACCCTTCACAAATAAAACATTTTCCATACAAGAACAAAATTTTCATCGTTCAGTTGGTATGATAGCTATGTGCTATAGTAATCTGATCTGAAAATTTTTTTTTTGAGATTCCACCATTGCGCTAGACAATAACCCTTGCCAAATTTTGTGAAGATATTTTCTCAGATAAAAAGTTTTCCTAATAAGAATTTGATTTTAATCGTTCAGCTTGTATGGCAGATATATGCAATATATGCAATATATCTGCCATACAAGCTGAGTGCTCTGATATGGGCATAGTGCTCTGATATGGGCAGTCCTGCGAAATGAGTAGCTTCTTGGGAAAAGAAAGACGTGTGCAAAATTGCAGATCGATATCTCAAAAACCGCTGTACTAGTTCGAGTATATACAAACAGCCAGACAGACGGCCATGGCTAAATCGATTCAGCTCGTCACGCTTATCATTTATGTATTGTATATGTACATAGATATACTTGATAGGGTCTCCGGCGTTTTCTTTTGGGTATTCAAAACAGCGTATAAAATTTATTATACCCTTTTCAGGGTATAAAAACTGTGCTTTCTGTTGCAACTCGACTTCATAAAAAGCTCAATATTCTATAACCAACGTTTTCGCTAAGTGTTTTTTACGCATTTATAAAATACGGTTGAACATTATCTGCACAACAACAAAATCGCAATTAATTTAATTTAATGTATTCGTTCAAATAGGAAATAGATAATTTATTTAATTAGCATGTCAATTGCAAGAGCTTTAATTTTTAAAAGGATGTAATAAAATTATATTGTGTCAGCACAATCATGTGTTGAAATCGTTTATTTTCGTAATTTATGCAAAGATTTTTACAAATTAATTGCATGTGCATTAGTGTGAAAATTTAGTTTTCTGGTATAGATATTATTTTATTAGAGGCTATTTGCTTAGAAACAAAAAAAGTAAGTAACTAATAACAAGCGAAAATCTTTCAATATAAGAATAGTGACAGTTATAATGGATAACTAAATTGTATACAAATCAATACTTAATTATTATATATATATATATACATATATATATACATACCTTCTGTCAAATATAAACGAGACTTTATCCATAACTCGACAAGGACATGACATATGGCCATACTTTTTTGCTTAGGTTGGCAGGACTGTTATATGTTTCATGTCAAATTTGAGCGCGATCTGCATCATAGTTTTTAAGGCACTATAACAAGTCAACCACGAGTGTGTTTTCGAATTTTACTATGGAAATTAACGTTGAGCAAAAGTGTTTGTTGAAATTGTTTTCTAATGGAATAAGTGCGACGGACGCAATGAAAATGTCGCAGAAGGCATATGTGGAGTCTTGTCATCACGTGCACGTATTTTGATTGCACGTAAAGAAATTGTGTTGGAAAATCGTCGTGAGTGAACTAGAGATAGCTAGTGAGCTCAACATACTAAATGAATCCGCTCATAGCATTATTCACGATGTTTTGGGCATGAGACGTGTGTCTGCTCGACTTGTTCCAAAATCCAGCTCCATACGTCTAGTCTTGTACGCGATTATTTGACCAAAACAACGTAAATATTGTTCCGCAAGCACCGTATTCACAGACATGGCACCGTGTGACTTTTTCTTTCCTAAACTCAAATTGTTTTATTGAGCCAGTCTCGGTTATATTTGAGCAGAATATGTGTTTCATTCAATTAGCTTTTTATTCCAAATCACTTGTTGACATATGCCAACCTCCGAAATTTTATTTAAAATATTTAAATAAGTAAACATACAAGTATGTGTCGAACCAGTTGCGCTAACGAAATCCTAATAACCAAAAATCAATAGTGGTCATTTGTACCAAAAATCCAATTTGAAAATGTTTAGATTTCAATTTAAATTGACACATGCAATCATGCAAAGTGTGCTAAACCGCAAAGCGTTTTTGGTCAAATCCGTCAAGCATAGTTTAGAATATTTCCAAATTTATTTTATTAACGCTTTAGTGAGTTGCGTACATTTGTTATACGATATGATATCATATTAGTTGTATTTAAAACCAATCGTATACGTGTGAAAAATTGTGGCGCCCTACCACTTTGGTGGTTCGTAAATAATAAAACGAATGCTTTTTGTTTTCAAATTCTCGCTCTTCGCCGAAAGTAAGGCCAAGCTCCACACATAACATGTACGTATGTATCTATAAAATCCTATATATGTATATTGAGTTTTTTATCACACCTGACTATAGCCAATTGGTTCTGAAATTAATATATATTATTATATTTTTAACTACAATTTATTAAAATTTTAAGGAATCCTTTGCAAAATTTTAAATAAAGAAGAATTTCTTACACCGATATTGAGCACTGAACGCTACTTATCCAATTTACTATTAAAATTAAAGAGTTTTTTGTTGATTTGATGTTAATTACCTGTTGAAGTTTTTATTTCTCTTTTCGGCAGCGGCGTACACAGCAATCAAATTCAAGAAGGGTTTTGTTAAAAGAAATTCACTAGCTTTTGCCAACGTGTAATTTTTTATTGTTTAATATAATGCACTACGTCAATGATTCATCAAATTATATTTACTCTTTCAACTGATCAAAATTCGCAAATGCAAAAAGTGCTTATTAAACGATATCCAGACTTCTGGGCTGTCGACAGAGAGTAGAAATGCTGTTTGTCTGTGTGTTTCTTTGAGATATCGTTTTGAATTTTTCTATGCATTTCTTGTTTCCATTGAGTACAGAGTCTGCTCTTATGTTTCGAATCATTGTCTTTTTGACGTGTCCAAAATATTACAAAAATAAGGTTATCAACGAAAACAAGGAATGATTTAAACATTTCTCTTGAAGTATCAAGCTGTTCAAGCTCAATAATGAGCGAAATAAGATGACGACAGATCACAGAAAGTAACAATATATCGTTCATTTCGTTTAAGAAGTAGCGTGTCACAATCTTGTCCATATCAGTCTAGGTTTTGAATGAGAGGATAAAAAATTGGGTTGTAGATGAACTTCGTAGTGAAAAAGATTTCATGCTCCAAATGCCAAACTTTTGCCATTTGGATAGCAGGTAAATGGATTAGGTTTAATGGGCCTACAACAGTCAAGGTCTTTGGGTTACCCTTTGTTAGGAAATATATTAATTATCCTTGAAGCTTTAGATTTAAAACATATTATTACCAACCAAAATAGTTCGTTATTATTTTTTCATTAAAGTTAAAAAGAGCTCTTTATATAAAATTATTTGTGTATTACACTAATTTGTGGTAGCGTTGATTGTTAAATATTTCATTTTCTATTTAATAACTGTTGAAATTTTAATTTATTTTTGTACAAGCAATTTAAACAAATATAATTGTGGTGAAATTGGCAATTAATGGCGTCTAAGCAATAGATTAAAATACATACATATTCATATTAGGAGTGAAGTGAGTCAGTGTGGCTAGGAATTGCTGTTAATGGAAAATATTTTGCATGGATTCGCGCGAAATAGTGATTATTTTATAAAATACAATTAACTGCAGTGAACCGAAAAACATGTAACTAATTTAAAATTAGCTGTTCACGTCAATGCTCTTAGGGTTGGTTATGAATTTTGTTGTGAATGAAATAAGAACGCACTTGGTTCGAGCCGAAATTGAGTCAAAAGACTAGACGACCAAGAATTTATAGGCTCTTCGACGTTTCCTTTGAGTGTTACAAATATAGTGGCAAAGGTAATTTACCTTATTAAAGGTATAACAAACAGAAGAGCGCATTAATTGAGAGCGTTAAATTGTAGACAGAGCTGATACTTTCTGCTAGTGAAATTTCTGTTGGCAGAAAAAAGCTTCTGCAATGTGAAGAAATAATTGTTAAAACACATTTGCTTTGATTTTGTTTAACTTAATCGTTTTGAATTGTGAAAATAAAATTCTGTTGATATTTTCGTGCTAATTTCTGCTAGTTTTCCGTTTCTTTACGTTTTCATTATTTCGTTCTTTGTGAGAGTAATTGCCTTATTGTTCTTCCAGATAGCTAGCAACTTTTAACAGCTAGAAAACAAACCTGCTATGTAACTTGAACAAATTCTGACACTTTGCAGTTTTGGAAAAAAATATAATTATCTTATATCAGAGCATATTCAATCATAGAGTTACAAAAAGAAAAATATTAATCGTAAAAAGTAATGTTTGCAATAAATAGAGACGGAATTACTATGTACATATGTATGAAAAAATTTCTAATATAATTCTGGCTGTATAACTTTGCTAGTACATATATTATTTTAAAGTGACAAGTAATTAAATAAACGGTGCTTCTTCTAAAAGGTATGTTTATAAAAATAAGATATAAATATATACATTGATTGTTATTTGTATGCACTTCGGCTTATGCGCAGCGTTAACATGGACCCGAATACGATGAAACGCAGTTTTAAACAGGACGACAATGCTTGCGGTTCTTTGCGTGGTAAGAAAATGAAAGCTCAGTTCTACGGAATTCTACTGTTTTTGCTTGCTGTGGCTTTGTTTATTGTTTGTTGTAGTTATTTTTGCCCAAAATTAGGTGATAAGCTAATTGGTGTAATAATAACGCTGTTTTGAAAACTGGCCGCATTAAATAAACGCATAAATTGTACAAAACGTAACTTTTTCCAATTTACTGAAGTGAAAATCGTATCCTGCCTCATTAAAATGTATGAAAAAGCTGCATCATATGTATAAATAAAATTACAATTCAACACAAGAGAGTGACATCATTAAAATTGCATAAATACTTCCTATTATTTTAGCTCTCTTTGTTTATTTATATAGTTCATACCAAATGATTGTAAAAACCAATGAAAAGCAATGAAAATGAAATGGAAGGGCTTATTGTTGAAATATACTTGTAATAGTTTTAATGGAACTGGGATTATCATGCTGAAATTAGCACCAAAATAAACCTATAAGTAGTTACCCATCGCAGCTTAGCCCAATTCAGATATAAATACCAATTTCAGAAGAACTTTTTTATTATTGAGAACTATCGATGCTTGCAACTTATTACCTGAAAGCATTTAAAGTGGCATGAATTTTGAGTACTATTTCGAGTGCTCATTACGAATATTTTTACTAACAATTTTTAGCACGAAACGTGCATTTATTCAGTTAAAACCTGAAATATAAGATATAAATAAAATGTTAAAAATTCAAATTCAAAACTTTTATAACAGCTGTTGAAGAGGGGATTTTAAAAATAGTGCGCCAATGATGTACCGATTGCAATCATCCAAAAGATTCGAAACAAAAATTAAAAGGATATTTATCCAGTTAAATGCTGCAAACATATTACTAAAAATTGTATACTAAACATTTTTTAATTTTTTTTTAATATAAAAAATATTTTTAATAATAAAATAAATAAAATTGTAGAATATTAATTAAAACTTTTCGAGAAAAACGTGTTTAAGAAAGCGGATAAAATTACGACCAGTTTTGGTTTGGCTGTGATTCTAATGGGTGTTTTTTCAGAAGTGTAGTTTTAAATGAGGTAATCCTTTTTTCTGAATTGATATTTTTGACAGCTGTTTATTGATTTATACCCAGTTTGGTTTGTTGTTTTGTAAAGAATAGACTTACTCCGGAACAATGCTAAATGAATGGGTCCGATTTTCACTAGAAAATTTTGTTTAGCGATGAAGCTCTCATTTTGTTGAATGGGTACGTTAATAAACAAAATTGTTACATTTGGAGTAATGATAATCTACAAGCCATTGCATGATGTTAGGTCATCAAAAAGTCACGGTTTGGTGAAATCTATGGGCAGTGGGAATCATTGGTCCATAATTCTTCAAAAATAAATCCGGCCATAATGTTTCATACAATGGGGTATGCTATAGAGCTATGATTAGTAAACTTTTCTGGGATGCTGATGTGTACAACCTTTAGTTCCAACAAGACGGCGATACATGCCATAGAGCCAACGAAAAAATCAATTTATTGAAGGAAACTTTTGCTTAGTGCATTATTTTCGCTGGAATTTATTGGAGCCAGCGGCGACGGTCACTTGCCTTAAAACGTTTTGTAAACATAGCGGCAAACCCTTATTATAGATTATCTGACTTAATTCCATAAGTTCAATCTATTATATATATTAAGTGCTTCAAACGCATATACAGGTTAGTTGAAAAGTTTGAACTCTCTCACCAAGAAATAGCACTATTAACTTCGATATTTATTTCTAATGTTGGTGAGAACACATGCAAAGTTGCAAGTCCTTCTGTCCCTTAATTCTTTGTTTACAAGCCATTGTAAGTTGACGTGTTAGAGTAATTTTTTAATATGGAAAAAATTGAATATCGCGTAATGATTAGATTTAGATTTAGATTAGATTAGTTTTGAAAGGCTTTTAAATTTATGAACAATTGGAAGAAATGTATAAGTTGTCCTCACCTCCAAAATGCACCGTTGAATTCTGGGTTCGTAAATTTAAACGCGGTCGGATTAGGCTTAAAGAGGATCCAGGCGAAGGACGACCAAAAAGCGCAACTACGCCAAAAATCATTAAGCCAGTCATAATATTGCACACGTTAACAATTCAACAAAAACTGGACGATAAACAAATTACTCAGCATCACTTTAAGCGTTCTAAGCAGCATAAAACCGATTTCTTGCTCGATTTATAACTATGAATGAGACTTGGATCTACCAGCATGATCCTAAAATGAAACAAGAACGTTTAGAGTGCACTGAAGCTGGTTGTTCAGCTCCATAGCAGGTGAAGCCACAACGTTCAGCAAAGAAGGTTATGGCATCAATTTTTTGCAGTACAAAAAATAATTTTTCATCAAGACAATGCACATGCTCACCAAGGTGTTTTAACAATGGCAAAATTCAACGAATTTAAGTACGAATTGCTTGAGCATCCACCGTATTCACCAGGCGTTTTGCGTCGAATGAAGAACGTATCCGTAGACGGGTATTTTGCAGAGCTTCCGGAAAGTCATCATAGGGATGGCATACATTTTTTGGAGCATCATTAGAATAAATGTATTGAAGTTAAGGAAGATTATATTGAAAAAAATATATATTACATACCAACAGTATTTTTTCATTTCGAGCGCAGAAACTTTTCAACCAAACTGTATTTGTAGGTAAAATTGAATCCAGCAGAAGTGCATTTTTTGGCGTAATCGTACATATCAAATTTTGCACCAGGAAACGTGGTAACTTCAAATTGCATAAATTTATTGTGTTGTATATACTTTAGCGTAAATATGTATGCACTTTCGCCAATATCCTTACAATACTAATGAAAATACGCTTTACTCAAATTTAACGCTAGATAAAACAGGAAGCAAATTGTTGTTGAGTGCACAGTTTGGCGGCTGTCAGTTGATATTATCGCGGATGTTAGTGGCACATTACGATTTGTTGTTGTTGTGCACATACTTTTAGTTTAATTAAAGCATAGTAATTGCAAATACATACAGGAAACGCAACGCAACACATCTAAAAGCTGCAAAAACATACATATACATATATAGTACATACACAAATACATATTTTAATATATTTACAAATATACATAAGTACGAAATATTCTGCTGCTGACTATCCAGTACTTGTGTGTAGTGCAATAGCAATAACAACAAACTTAATTCCATTGGAATTTCGGTGGAAATGGAAAATTGCTTGGTTCTAAAAGCAATTGCAATACAAAAGTGAAATTGCAAATACATACATACATACATACCCAAATGTATAGATGTAGATAGCACGATGGGAAAGACATTGCAGTTCTTGTAGCATCTTAAGTGAAACAATTAAATTATCTCGCCTTATGCGCCAAGCTCGACGCTGCCGGAACGCATACCTTCATATATACATATGTATGTATAAACTTTGGAGCATACTCATATTCAAATATATATATATATATATATATATATGTATATATATATGGCATATAAGTATTTATGTATAAGTATCTGTTCAGAAGTGCCTCCAAATTTTAGATTTACAAATTCCGTGTAGTAACTTATCGCTACTTGTTAGTAATACTCTTAGTCAGCGCCTTTTGCGTACCACATCTTATGGCACACACTGTAATAAGCAATTTTGTGTGTGTTTCTGTTGCTTTGCATAAGTCTTGGCTTGGCATCACATCTACAATGGCTGCATTTAACAAATAAGCTTTTCAGGCATGCAGCAATGACAACAAAGTAATCCAAAATGTTTATCTGTGTGTGTGTGTGGCAACTTCAAGCTTGTAATGAAAGTGCAATGCTAAGAAAGCCAAGATAAGTATGGTGCAGTTGGAGTGGAATGCTGAAATACGTTTAAGCAAATAATGGTTAGATTTGCTGTAATTTTACACAGATTTTTAGCTCAAGAAATGCAACTTTTATTAAAATATTAAATTTTATTAAGACAAATACAAATAATTCAAGAAGACTTTACAAAAAGTAGAAGTAAAGAGAAACTTCATTGTCATACAAAAATTCATTATTCGCTTAGTGAAGGGCAAAACACACTGAAAGGCTGCAAATAATTATTTAACTATGGTTTTAAACATTTATATAAAATATACAATAGTTTTGTAAAAAATTAAGTTATTTAGCTTATTTTTCCATATTTAGCGCAATAAGTTTTCTTTCAGGTTGCACCATTCTAACAGGCGGCCATATTTTTAATTAACCTATTCAACATAAAAAACCTAAAATAAGTATCAATACTCCCTTCTTGTACTCGTATGTGTCATAATCCTGTCATCAGCCATCAATGCTATTCAATTTAGATGTTGTAAGTAAAAGAAGCGAAAGCTCTAAGAGTTTTGAAACGAACAAACAACTGGTATAAATCACATACACTGGCACAACTTAATAGAGATAGATGCTGTTAGCACTTATGAGAGCTTAGCGACAGTGTCTGTCTTAAATAAATGATGAGCTGAGTTGATTTATCCATGTCCGTCTGTTCACATGTCTGTATATACGCGAACTAGTACCTCAATTTTGGAAATATCGCTCCAAAATTTTACACCCGTCCTCATCTCTCCAAACAGCTACACATTTTTCGGAATCGTCGATATTGGACCGCTATAGCATATAGCTGCATTACAAACTAAACGATCAAAACCAAGTACCTGTATGAAAAACATTTTTGTTTGCAAGATATCTTCACGAATTTTGTCATAGATTACCACTAAAGTGAATGGTACAATCTTCGAAGAACTTGTTTAGATCGGACCCCTATAGCATAAGTCTGCCATACAAACCGACCGATCAAAATCTAGATCTTGTATGGAAACTTTTTTAGTTATGAAGGGTATTCTAGCTTATTTCTTATTTTTTGTCCAAATTTCCAACGGTAAAGAACTGTTATATTCAAAATAGGAAATGATTGAGAAAAGAAGCTATGCCTTGCGGACCTAAGAAAATTTCCACACAAAAAAATTTAATCGGAATTTTTTAATACAATATTTAATTTATAAAGTCCTCTAGAGTATAAAATATAATATGGCCATCAATAAGGCAGCTATGTAAGTAGGTACACACAAGACATAAGGTGCAGCAGCGTATGATTAAAAGAAGTCCAGCGAGACGCTAAAATGCAGTCAACTTAAGCATTATTAAGCAATTCAGAAAAACTCTGAAATTAGTTTTGTATTTGTAGAAAAGAAAACCGTAGTAAAAAAGCTAAATGTAAAAAAAAGAAAATAGGTAATCACGCTTGATTGAGCGCAAACTGCCAATGCGCTACCAAAAATGACAAGCTGGAGCTGAAGCTATGTTGCGCGATGACGTTGTCACTTTGCTATTGTTGTAGATATTTTTTTGTTGCTGCTTTTAATGCTTAGCCTCCGCTCTACATACCTATATGATAAGTATGGCGCTATTTATA